TCGGAGTGTCCATTGACTTGTATTTTTTAAAATTACTCAGTGATAACTGTAACTTACGGTGCTTTGCCGCAAGTCGATTTGCCCCAAGTTGTTTTGCTCCCAAATCATTCGATATAATAACTTTAGTCGTTTTGCCCCCAAATAATTATTAGATGTCAAAGTTGTTTTCCGGGCCCTAGCTAGACCGATAATTGGCTGAGGGGGTTGTATATTCATATATTCATGTTCTGCCTGACGGATTTCTTTTGAAAGCGATTGTTTTTACAGTATGTGAACATGAATATACACCCCCCAATTATGGTGTCTAGCTACTGCCCTGCATGGTTGTTTTGCCCCCCCCCCAAAAAAACGTATACGATAAGGCGATAAATATTTTTTTGCAAAAATATATATAAAAACGCAAGCATGAACAAGTTGCACTCGATATATTCTTCACTATATTTTTAATCCATCATTATCTATACTCTAAGAACTGAAATAGCTTAATTAATATTATTAAAATAAAATCACAAAAATAAATACAAGTTGTTTTGGCAGCGATAAGCGCCAATAACATTCAAATTTTTCGTATAGGGAGTAGGAGTAGCGAAAGCAATATGTAAACACATGGCAATCTGTAAACCTTTTGCACACTTTTATAAAGGGAGTGAAACAACTTTGACATTTAATGATTTAGGGGCAAAACCACTTTGATTTCGAATGACTTGGGGATGAAACGACTTGTATTCTTGTCCAGCAGGCAGCATTGCCACTAGTGGTTATATAAGGGGAAATAACGTTTGCTATATCGCCGTGGCTATTCGTACTGGAACAGTACGCCGAGTTTGATTTGCTATTCGTACTGCAGTCATAATATTTAAGATAAACCTGACCCCAACCCCTTCTCTAACCCTAACGAATAAAGGTCTAATAAAAGTCGGGGGAAAAAAATTAAAAATATTTTAAGAAAAATTTCTAAGTCAACAAAAAACCGATGGCTAAAACTAAACCCGGACCCAACCTGACGTTTCACTTCGCACGCACGCAACGCCTTTGCCGAATACGCTAATGGCAAGCTCGCTAAAAGCTGTTGCAAAAAACTATTTTATATTGCTACTTTACGTAATGTAAGAATCGGGTGCCATACTCCAGTACAAATCTAGCCACTTTGTTGCTATATAAACATCATATTACACTAGTGAAAAAACTTAAAATTGTATGTATGTAGGCCTCAATCTTGTCTTGTTTAAAATTTTGCTGCCATGAAATTGAAAATATACAATTTTAAGTGCACATGACTTAATTTTTTTGGCCTTAATTTTATTGCTTTACTAGAAAGTACCCTTCAAATGATGAAGAATGGTGGTTATATACAATTTTCTCATATCTTATCTCAATCCCGAGTTATTACAGTTTTGTAAATTATTTGAGCTATGACACCATAAGTTTTGCTAAAGTTAGCAAGAAAAACTGAAAGTGGAATATCTCCAGCATTTGAACAAATGAAATGAAACTTTGCACAGTTGTTGAGGCAATCACACATACATTTTGGTATGTTTGTGTGGTTGTTAAGGCAACACACTAGTTCCCAGTCTCCATGCATCAAGTCACATGATTCCTGCTGTATACTGACTAAGAAAAGCACCTGTTTCACAGACAATTAGTACTAAAATGTTCCATAAAGAACATAAGCAATGAAAACAACAGAATTAGAACTAATTTCATGCAAGAAAGGGAACTGGAAACTAGGGCATTGCCTTGACAACCACATAAACATACCAAAATGTATGTGTGATTGCCTCAACAAATGTGTAAAGTTTCATTTCATTTGCTCAAATCCTCTTGGAGATATTCCACTAATTATTTAGCTTATGATTAGCACAGCTTATGATTAGCACATCATAGCTCAAATTACAAATGCTGTAATAACTAGCTGGATTGAGATGAGATATGAAAAAATTGTTACCACCATTCTTCATCACTTGAAGGGTACTTTCTGGTAAAGCAGCAAAATTAAGGCATATAATTCATGTCATGCGCACTTTAAGAATATGTCCCTGTATCATTTTGAATCTTTTGATCAATTCTATGTCTGCCATCCTTCAGGCATTTGTCAGGTATTTGGTGACTGCACCTCTTAATTCCCAAGTTGCCCAACTTGCTACTTGCCTAAATTAATTATTATTAATTTATTTCGCCCAATTTTCCAAAGTAAAATAAAGTTTAACTATTTACATTTTTATAATCTATACGTAGGGCTAGAGATCTTTTAGAAACCCTTTTGGGCTTTTATTTTAAGACCCTTAGTTATAACAAAACTTTTTTTTACTTAGTATAATTTCATGATGTCATAAAAATAGTATTATAATATAATAACGAAAATATAAAAGAACACAGAAAAAAAGTAAGGGGTTGCAGACAAATTATAGATTCATCCACTGATTGTGGACTTTTTCCACTCGGCGCAAGCATGCAGACTGTAAAGTTTGGTCTGTGTGGGCACAAAAATTTTAGCTGAATTTCTGTCCACCCATTTTCAAGAAAATCCTACAAATTCCTCATATTTCTGATGAACTAATGATTTATTTTGTCTCTTGCATGTTGGGCCTTCTAGAGACTCCAAATTTTTTAAATTTTTCTGCTTGACGGCACCCGGCTGCTCGATGGAAGTTATAATTGCAACCATTCTCAAATGTTCTGAAAATTCCCCTCGGCAGTAACAGCTTCTTTTACGATAGAAAATTTCCTGTGCAAAAGTAATTCTCTTACCGGTCTGGGGTGGACGGTGTGTGTGTGTGTGAATTTAAAGAACATTGTGTATTATATCCATAAATGCAGCAAAGTTTATTTGACATTATTGTATATTAAAATCAATATTCTCGTTCGCAATGGTCAGAATGGATAATTCTCGGTATCTTGAAGCTCTTGCATTATTATATAAATTATATATTACATGCCATCAGCGTGCAATAATACTTTTTTGGACTGAAGTTTGGAAGTTTTAAATTGAATATAATGAAGTTTGATATTAAATGCTTACATTATTCTTACTAATGTATTTTGCCTGATTTTTTTTTTTAGAAAATCAATGAGTTCCAGTTAGTCTTCTCTAGGTAAGAAATAAATTTAGAGTTATACAGTAACAACAATTAATTAATAATATAGCTTTTGTAAATTCTGGTTAAGAGCCGTGTTGATAACTCAATGTCAACACTCAACATGGAAACGTTCAAAAATTTATTTCTTTTATGTTTCTTTGTGCTATATTATAAAACAAATATAAAACTTTTTTCCATATTGATATACAGTTATATCAACACTTGTGGAAATTGGGAAAACTCAAAATTGGGTGAAAACACTCCACACAATTTATAGTTTTCCCAATTGCCACTTGTGTTGACTCACTTGATAAAACTGCATATCAACACGGAAAATGTTTTGGTTTTATATTTGTTAAATATATAATCTGTCATTTCTGTACCGTTTTTTCAGTAGTTTAGTAGGTTTTGTCCCAACATGTGCACATGCCAGTGTCCCAAGAAATTAATTCCCCCTCTCAACTTTGCATAATGTCCTAAACCGGAGACACTTTCACGAAATATAAGATAAAACATACTACAGTACAAATATTAATATCTGGTAAACTCAAGATTTGAGCTGTTTAAATAAGACAACGAAATTGAAGCTCATATTTCGACATATTGGCTTGTTTATATGGCTCAAATATTAACCCATTGAGCCACAATGCGCCCCAGTGCACCCTACCTCTGCAGCTTAATGGGTTAACCAAAAAAATCTGACAATGTCTCTGTAGTTATAACGTCCCATTGAGCCCCAGTGCACCCTACTTATTTTTTTCACTTGTCTAACGCCAGACGATTTTACTCGTCAATGGGGACGCTCTGCAGCTTAATGGGTTAAAATCATAGAAATAATAGATATTTATATATTATTTCTATAGTTAAAATTGAGTTTACAAGATACATTATTTAGAGTGTGTTATATGTTACATTTCTCATTGGCAGGTGAATACCCTACTGTAGGGATATTGCTCTTTCAGAGGTCGAATTTCCTGGGAAATTTGTCCTCTTTTACAGTTGCAAACATGAACTGGAATAAATTGCACTTGCTATTAATCTGGCCACAGTGCACAATTTTATTCATTTGAGATGTACAACAGCATTTGTTGAATTGACAAAGACTTGTCTTTACATTGTCTTACGAACTGTACTGTACCTGTAAAATTATGGTAAAAAATAAATTAAAATTTTTAGTTTTCTTGCTCGTGATCAAGTCAAAGAAAAAGAAAAAGATGAGAAATTTATTGGATCTTTTAAAGATTTCTGGAAATCTATCAGTACGCTGCTGGAATCTGAGAAAAGAGAAGTGGTAATATGAAATTTAATTCATTTTTATTAGCTGACTCAGGGTTCGTAGCGGTCTTTGAAATCCTTGAAAGTCTTTAAATTGGAATGCAGGTCTTTGAGGTCTTTGAAAAGTCTTTACATTGCGTGAAAAAGCGAAGAAAGTCTTTAAAGTCTTTGAATTCTTCAGTGAGGAATTGATTATACGATTTCCTAGCTAATAAAATAGATTGATTGAATCCAGATTTTTGCAAATATCGACGAAAAGGCGCATTTTAGGATGTGATTTGATGGGACTAATTACTGGGTAAAAATGGTGCTTACTTTCGCAATTTTTCGCGGCTGATTCCTCTCAAAGGTCTTTGAAAAGTCTTTGAAAATAGACAGAAAAGTTGAATTGAAAGTCGTTGAATTTTTTTGGTCTTGGAGACTACGAACCCTGTGACTTTAAAACACTCATTAATATTCATTACTAGGTAGATTCATGAGCCATTAGATCATGCGCGTGCGTCATATTCCTGATAAACGTCACCCTACTTGGAAGCTAATGGAAGCTATAACGTTTAATGCCCAAGCTTTACCATAGATTGCTACAACTCTTTCCACCCAGTTCT